TATTGTTGTTGTTACTTTTGTTACGGGTAGAAAGGGCCTTGGTTCAATTTTTGTGTGGGCCTCTGGAAATGGTGGAATGTTCCAGGACGACTGCAGCTGTGATGGTTACGTATCGAGTATACACACCCTGGCCATTGGTAGTGTCACAGACGAAGGCATGAGTACGTACTATGGGGAGGTGTGTCCGTCCGTCATGGGGGTCGTGTTCGCGGGGGGTTCTCACAGCGTTGGAGTGCCTGGGGATGTTGCTGGTGAGGATGTTGCTGGTGAGGATGGCGAGGAAGGCGGTGGTGGTGTCAATAAGCCTGAACATGACGTTAAAGTTGTGAGTTTGTGTGTCGTCGTTGTTGTTGTTGTGCTGTGTTTGGTTTTTCGTGTTTGTAGAAGATGCGTTCGAAATAAATTTCTAATCCGACACAACAAAATAAATTGAAAAAAATGTTACTCATCTGTCAGGTGACGACAGATCTGCATGGCGGTTGTACTTTGAAATTCCAGGGTACTTCAAGCGCTGCTCCATTGGCTGCCGGCTGTATTGCCCTCGTGCTCGAGGCCAAGTAAGCCAACATTTTTTTGGGATTGTACATTTTTTTTGATTATGCCTTTTTAAATTTTTGTTTGTTTTTGAAGTTTTTTATTAAACTGATGGTGTTAGAAACTGCTTGTAATGAGCTGCTACTCATTCATATCAAATCAACATCCTACCTACTTTTACAATTCAGTATATTATCGCGTAAAAATAATTTGGCTTTCATTATTTCAATGCTGTTTTCATTTCTCTTTCCCTAATCTTAACGACAAAAGAAAAAAAAACACCCACATCAGTGCCAACCTGACGTGGCGAGACGTCCAGCATCTAGTCGTTGAGACATCGGTCATCCCAAGTGAGAAGGAAGACGGTTGGAAGGTTAACGCGGCCGGCTACCACGTCAACCACAGGTTCGGATTCGGAGTGCTGGATTGTGGTAGGATGGTTGAGGCCGCGGAAAACTGGATCGGGATTCAGGAACAGCTGAAGTGTGTCGTTAAATCACAAGGGCCTACCAGGTATGACGCAATCAATCAATCACTTTAAAATTTGAGCTAATAACACCAAAATATTGATCTCCAACTATACACTAGACTACATCTGTTACACACAC